GGCAGGGCCACGTGCCCAGCGCCATGCCAGAGCCGCCCGGCTGCCGGGGGCTGACGCAGGCAGCAAAACTGTGGCCTGTCCCCATAGTCTGAGGGGCCACAGTGGGGGGACCCTGCTCCTGCACCACTTGAGCGCCGGGGTTGGGAGGAAGGGTGACACCGATGCCGTGGAGAATTCCCTGAGCGAGGGGGGTTCTTTGTGGGGTGAACCCCACAGCCGGGGGGAGCACGTTAAGGCTCCGTGGTTGCAAGTGCAGCAGCTCCCCTGCAGCCACCCCGTTCCCACTGCCCGCACCCCCTCCCCGCTCCGGTCTGGCACTGGGGAACGGGACCCCCGCCCAGCCTGGGGCTGGGGGCTGCCACGGGGCACACCCCTGCGCTGGCACCCAAGGACGAGGTTTGGGGGCACCAATGCTGTGGCAGTGGGTTCATGCCGTGACCCGCTCCCCGCCGGGCAGGTCAGCTATTCCCGACGGGAAACTGAGTCACGGCGAGGCAAAGCGCCCTGGCAGTGCCCGCGGCGGGGAGCCGGCAGCAGAGCTACCACGGGGCCAGCACTGGCCGCCGCCTCTGCCGGGGCTCGGCGAGCGCGGGGCAGCCCCTGTGGGGGGGCTCGGTGGGCTGCGGGGCTGGGTGAAGGGCTGTGGGTGCAGGACGGGGTGATGCTGGCTGGGCAGGAGGAGAGGTTCCCCTCTCGCTGGGTTGGGCGTGAGCGAGAGCAAACAGTGATTAGGGTGCGGTGGTGTCATCCCAAATTCCTGCTCGCCTCCAGGCCAGCCAGGGGCCGATTGGGCCAATTCTGGCGGTGGAGCCGTGCCGGTGGTTGCCGCTTCGATGTGGCCACAGGCTGGCAACATCCCGGCGTCTGTCCTGGCCCTGACCACAAAGAGTCGGTGGCGAGGTCAGGCCGGGGAGGAGGGGAAGGAGAGGAGCAGGACAGTGGCGGGGTGGCAGAGTTTTGGATTCTTATCCATTCCTAGAGGCCATCTCCTCCCCGTGCCACCGATGCCTGGGGCTGCTGGTGCCACCCGCCATGGGCTGGATCCAGCCCCACCGGCCACGTCCCCCGGCATCGCCCAGGGGGGTGCAGCTCCCCAGCACTAAGCCCGGTCCTAACCCTGACCTGAGGGCAGCTCTGGCCTCTCCGGCCCTGCTGCTTCCCCATCGCTGGGGACGGTGCCAGTCAGTGCTGGGTTCAGGGTCTCTGCACCGACCGGCTGCGAGCAGAGAGGCACCGGGCTCCTCCTCACAGCGTGTGGACGGGAGACAGATTTTAGGGGAGATTCAGTGACCCCCAGTGCTGCCGCATCTGAAACAGCTCTGGGCAAGGGGAGGCGAGGCCGCTCCTCTCTCCGGAGCGAATGTTATGCCAGGGGTTCAGCTGTTGCCACCAGTGAACTGCCTCCTCCTTGGTTTTGGCTTCGCTGAGACCAGGACCCCAATTTAAACCTGGCCAAGTGCGCGGGGGCGAGGCCCCAGACAAGATAAAAGGGGGCCCTGCTTTGGTGTAACCTCTCCACCTCCACCCCTGTGGCCCCATATCCATGGGGCTGAGTCCCAGACTTGTAGCACCCAGCTGCCCCATGGGCCGTTCCCGTTCGGGTGGCCCCACAACATCTCCTTGGCCCCCAGGACTTTCCCTGGGCTGTACCAACGCCTGTCGGCGTCGGAGGCTGGGCGCCGCGCACAAGAGGTTAACGAGACGTTGGCAGGGAGCGGGTGCGTGGGTCCAGCGTTGCTCACGGCAGGTGTGGTGCTGCTTATGTAACCTCATACTTTTGGGTTGCGCTGGGGCACTCGGGGAGTATTGTCGCTCTCACTCCAGCAGGATTTGGCCGCGACTGTCCCAACAGCGGCAATCATCGGGGCCGCGCCGGGCAAGTCAGCGACCGCCTTTTGGGAGGTGCGAGTTCGCCGGGGCCGGACCCTGCGTGTCCTGAAGAGTCACCGTGTTGCTCCTGGTCTCAGTTTCCCCACCTGTGAAATGGGGCTAATGAGGCTGACCTCCTTCAGGCAGTGTCGGTGACCTCTGGGGACAGGCAGCGGCCTTGCACCACACTCGCCGCCAGCGTGGGGGCTGCCCCCCAACCAGGGCCGGTCAAGATGTGTGCTGGGGTGGGATTTCAGGGGCTGTCCAGGGCTGCGCTTGCAGAAGCTTCGCTGGAAGTGAAGCTTGTAAAGACCGAGGCGAGACGTCGCCCCGCATCCCGTCTGCGTGCCCATCCATGCGGAGCGCGGCGGGGAGGAGGGAGGAAAGCCGGGACGAAGGAGCGAATCCAACTGGCGAGAGCAGCGAACCCGTTCCCAATCGCCATCAGCGAAATCATGTCAGACAGCAGCACTGGAGCGCGGCAGGCAGCTCGGCCCGCTCCGCTCCCCGCACCCCTCCACCCGCCCATCCAGCCGCCCGTGTCCCCCTCCCCGGCCACAGCCGCTCCCGCGCCGGAGCAGAGCGAGGCTGTAACTCGGCGCACAGGTGGGAGCTCACAAAGTGCCTCCGCAGTTCAGCCCTGCCACCCGTCCCACCCGTGCTGCTGCGGGGGGACAAGGCCTGGTGGGGGACAACACACCCCCTCTGCCACCGCCCTGGCAGGTCCCCAGCTCAGCCCCGGGGCTCTGGGTTGAAATGACCCTCTTCAGCTGCGCTTAGATGGTTTGATTTAAGGGTTGAGGGGCTGTGGTGCCCCTGCAGAGCCCAACCGAGAGGGCCGGGGGGAGTTTGGGGTGGAGGCAGCCAGGCCATGCGTGTGACGGTGGCGGCGGCTGCATTGGTGCCCGTGGTGGATGTCCCCTCCGTGCCCATGGCTGATGTGGGGTCTGTGCCCGTGACCATGACTGATGTGGCCACGGCAGATGCCACATCCACGCCTGTGGCGGATGCCACGTCCGTGTCCACGGTGGACGCTGTCTCTGCACACAGCGGGTCTCCAGGCCCGTGTCACCACCCCCAGAACCCACCCCTGAGCACCGGCCGTGGCCCTGGCCCGGCCGTGACAGGGACCAACCACCTACAGCCCTGTGGTGTGGCACCGTGGGGACCCTGGTGCAAGAGTCACACCACGAACCCCAGCCATGGGGCTTTGCCCTGTGCTGACATCGTCATCGCCTGGTCCAGAGCCATAATCTCTTTGCATTTATTACGGCAGCGTGTGGGAGCACCCTGTTACCCAAAACACGACCCCAGGCCCCAAAGCCCTCAGTGTGCATGACAGCACGAAGGACGGGGTGGGAATGGCTCACCGCCACCTCCAAAGCTTCCTCCCACTGCTTGCACTTGCCTCCTCCCGAGCCGCAGGTCTCCCACCCAGGAGGTCCCCTTGGGCCCTGGCGGGGGGACACATATTGGGGCTGATCGGGGGACCCCACGCTTCCCACATCCCCCCAGCGCCGGGCGTCTGCACCTTCTCCAGGGCCCCCCGCCCTGTCCCGCCGAGGGGTGCGGGGTCCCTGTGCCAAGCAGAGCGCCCCGGGGGTGCCAGCAGAGCCGCAGGGGTGAGGCGAGGAGGCGCGGTGATTCAGCGGGACACGCAGCCGGCCCCGTGCCTGGGCGAGCCGGGACAGGACGGGCACCGGCAGGGCCCTCCCAG